AAATGTTATTGTGTTTATTTGTTTGTTGTTTAACGCCGCAGTCAGCAATATTCCAGCTATATGACGGCGGTCTTTAAATAATCGAGTCTGGACCAGACAATTCAATGATTGACATCATGATCCACGCAATTGGGATACGATGACATGCATCAACCAAATCAGCGAACCTGACCACCCGATCCCGTAAGTCGCCTCTTACGACAAGCATAGTCGCCTTTTACAGCAAGCATGGGTTGCTGAACACCTATTCTACCCCGGATCTTCACGGGTCAAATGTTATTGTGACCCACTTTTAACAAAGAAAATTTCGTACAAACCTATATTAGAAAGAGAAGAATTGAAAACACCAGTGAGAGCACACACACACACACACACACACACACACACACACACACACACACACACACACATACATACTAAGTTAATAGCTATGTTGTACAGTACTGTCGTTATAAACATGCATTAGATGCAAAGAGGTGGCGATGTTCTCCTATGTATTTCTGTGTACAATAATATAAGCGACAAAACCATTATCCTATTCATAAGAAATCTCTGCCAAAAGCAGAGTCAATTGTACCATTCAACCTATATCATGAGCATGCGTTTAGGAATCACTATCAAATAGTGATGATACCAGGTGTTCGCGAAAAGGTGAGCGTATCCTGCCCCACTGGGGGCGCCCGTCACAAGCACCTGCAAAGGCAAGTCATTTGTAAACCTGACAAAACACAGGAACAAGTCAAAATACGGACCTGAATCGAACAGCATCTTTGTCAGCGATGCGTCAGGTTTATAAATGTCCTCCACATGTCTACCATAAAACAGTGTGCACTCTTTACCGAGGCCTTGAATGTGGGAACCTTGATCAAACAGCTTATCAGCAAAAGTCTTATGACGCTCTTCGAAATCTTGGGAGAAGGAACATCCTCGATTGTACCTAAAAAAATGTGAAATGGCTGGAGACATACTGCTCGGCATGAAGGGAAAGAAAAAATTACATACTTTCAGAATGTTATAAGTCTTGTTACACAGTCTTGGGCATCTTCCCGAGGCAAGAGAAGTAACTGACCATGAAAGTCCATTTTTCCACCATTGCCAAACTAAGGAACAATTATAGAGTCTATGCATAGCCCAATCAAAATCGCGAAATGAAATCGACATCCGGTTCGTAAACTGCCCTGCAGATTTCGGTCGATTGCAGGATTTGCAAAGCATGTGTTCCATCAACTCGGCGTCAACAGATATTTTTCAAATCTTTTCATGTTTTTGTAATCAAGGTGCTCACGTGATTGGATGCACTTCGCGAAATAAGACCTTTTATGTTACAAAAAACGATATTGATTATCGATCAGATCGTATTGACTGGGCACCACCATTTTGTTTGGAACAAATGCAAGTGATATGAGAGGTGGAATCTGATTGGTCAATAGGAGGGATATAGAAGACACATCACTCGTAATAGCCACTGATGGCTCTACGATTGAACCCAGAAATTCCAACCCAGTTCGGCAAGGGTGAAAATGGACTTTTACACTCAGTTAACTCTCTTGCCTCAGGAAGATGGGTCTCTCTGACTGCCTATGCATAGATCTAAATATGAAACAGACGAGGCGGTCTCACTGCACTCCTCTATTTCTAATTCAGGTGGGTAAATCAGTGGAAGGAAACTATTGGCTGTTTGATGAATATTGAACGATATCATGAAGCATTACTTCACCTTTTCGGCCAAATTACCTTGTTTAGACTTTGCCAATCCGAGCTCTGTTCCCGATTCATTCGCATAAAGAAACAGATACGCAAGGAGAGTACAACAGGTGTCCATGGGGATGACTACTTCTTGACTAAATGTCTTACCCCAAAAATTTTACATAAACGTTATCTTTTTGTCTAAATGGGTTTATCACTTTCATTTACCCCCCAAATCTCATACAGCTGTTATCAATGAGGAAGTCCAGCATTTCACATATTGTTTGCTTAGTAATCTTTAGATGGCGTTTATTTGCATGTTTGTCCAATTGACCTGAACCTCTGAAAATAGCACGAGTAACTACAAATATAAATTTATATGCTCACAACGTTTAGTACCATAAAAACCTTGTATGTAGGAATGAAGTTGTTCTTTAAGCTTGTCATATGAGATTGTGGTGTACAAAGTTGAAAAATCACATGTTTTGACAGAATGAAACTTTTTTTCTGTGATTGCAAACATGTAAGCAATTCCTTGAAGTTGTTGAGAATCCACATGATATTAATTCCACTTGTCTCATATTCTTTCCATGAAAATAAAGAAAGTCCTTCCTTATTTGAATTTAGCGTTGTAATTAATCTTTGAGATTTGGTGGTACATTTGCAAGCCTCGGCAATATATAGCTCTTTTGACGGTTATTTATGGAGCTTTGGAATATTTCAGGTTTTAGCCAAATGTTGAGCGTACTGACGCATGGTTTTGGCCCATTTTACATACTAGCCTTATATGTGGCAATACTTGATGTGTCACTTATAGCAAATTCTTTGATCAAACAAATGATGTGATACCTGCATTATTGGTTATGTTATTTGAGGCTACACCAGTTCTATGTAGGGCAGCTTTGGATGACAGCTGACTGGGATAGAATGGGTGTATTCCAATTGCTTCCTCTTTTTCAGTGGCTGCAGAATGATGAATCGTGGCAGCCACAAGAAGTAGTATTTACACGTCCTATAATTGAACAACCTGGATGAAATGGTGTTCGTATAGGAAAATGAAGTGGGTGGTGATACCTGAAATTTAAAATATTGTGGCACATTTTGGGAAATTTTTGTCTCAGAATGTTACTTAAATTTAAGGCTTCAAATCCTTTGTTCGCATTCAAGAACACGTGGTCTTTGTCAGATTTAGTCTGTGTCTGGTTGGGTCAAACGTTTCAAAGCTATATCATGAACGATACTCTCTGGTCGATACTGTGGGCTCGTTCTGTTGTAGACCAACCCATCAGTACATGTTGCTGGAATTGTATAATTTCTTTCAGTGACACAGAGTATAGTCGTGTTCTTTCTTTATGCAGTGCCAATTGTTCCCGAAGGAGAGTCGACAAGTCTTCCAGATGAATGGTATCGTTTGGCCTATGTCTATGGCTGCGTGAATGTCTTTGGTATGCCAGAAACTATCTCAATACATTGACATCGGCTGCTCGTTGGCTGAGAAGACTGTCAACATCTTTTATTTTGTCATTGACATATGTACACAACACTTGCATCCAATGACTTTCTCTGGACATCCTTTAAGGCCCATCTCATATGAGGCTATTAGATAGATGGTATCTCTTCTCTTATATCCAAACTTTTATGTATAGGATGGAGTGATTTGCAGAATTGAAATGTTGGTTGACGCAACTGGAAACATAAATGTTGATACCTGATCATGCTGGGTAACTCGTGCCAATGATTTCTGTTGTGTCTTTCCAACATAAATCAATGCATCAAGGAAGCATTCAATGTCATACATGACTAATTTAGTTTGACATAATCGGTTTTCAAAAGGTTTTGTGAAGTATGTTTTAAATGTCAAGTGAGACTTGAATTCAGGATCAGTTTACCAAATAGGACAAGTTTATTGCAATAAACTATTTTTATTATATATATGTTTATGTTAGTTTTTCCGGGGTAAGGGATGCGTAATGGGCATTTCACATCACAGTCAACAATAGTGTCAGTTACAGCGTGACAAGTGGTGTGAGTGAGTGAGTGAGATGGGTTTAACGCCGCTTTTAACAGTATTCCAGTTATATCACGGCGTATCAGCTTAGTGTGGGAGGAAAGCCCGAAGTGATGCAAGTCTCAGACGTTTACAACTTCGGTGAAACCCACGAGCACGGGTATGGTGCTGACAAACCTAGAAACATTGCGAACCGGGATTCGAACCCATAATCATAGGTTTCTGGCGTGCCCAAGGGACACAACTCTGTACAGCGAATCGCGACTCCTTAGACGACTGGGCCAACTGTGCCCCCTTATGCCACATGAAGAAATACTGCATGGAGATTGGTTCAAAAGAAAATTGTCCTCCAACTTCACTGAAGATTTTTAATGATGACTGTAAATGAATTTTCGTTTTTGTAATACAGTAAACTACGGTTACAACGAACTCAAAGGGACCACTAATTTTAGTTCGTAATAACCGAAATTCGTTATAAGCATGTATACATCATATATACAACACATGGCCTGGACTAAGAAATAAGTTCGTTATATCGGTCAGTTCGTTATAAAAGTGTTCGTTATAAACGTAGTTTTCTGTAGGAACTGCCTTCATGTTGAACAGAGATTGATTTCATGATATCCCAAAGGACCACCTGAAGACTGCAACCTAAACCATATGTTGCAGCAGCCCCGTCTGCATCATAGCGTTTCAACCCAAATAGTTTCTATTCGTTCAAGAGACAAATCATTACCATTTATTCGCTCCAAGAATCTGGGAATATATCGGTATTTGAAACTTTGTTAAACAACAATTTCAAATATGAGATTCTACTATGAGAGTACAATTTTATAAATTCTGCGGGATGTCCATCCTCACCTTGTCTCTGTTCTAGGCTGTTGATGGAATCCTTGTCTGTTATAATGTATCACTCATTTATTTACGCCTCGGGCCTAATTACAATATATACACATGGGTTCAACAGCAAAAAATTACTATTGTACTACTGACATATTTCGAACGAATATTAACGTATGAGGGGCATATCAATACAGAAAAAATTCTATCTTAGAATTACATGTAAATTACATAATGGACATAATGGTTTAAATAACAACTGCTAATATTGCCTGGGATTAATCATGTCTTGAAACATACTAAGGAGTTTAAACCAGTATTGCTCACATGCATCCAAGTATCAACGCGAATACCAAAACGACCACATTCCCCCGGTACTGCACCATTTTTAATTCCAAAAACAAATTTACAAATATTGGCTTGAAAATGTTCGAAAAACAACCATTCATGAATACCCCAAACTCTCTGAACAATGGAAAAGAATTTTATTGATCTGAAGGTCAAACATTCTGAACAATCCCTTTGGAGAAATATTTCCCATCTATGACAAAGTAGTTTTATAGGAACCAGGTCTTCACTAGCTTTGGACACCAATGTCTGAACAGTAAAAAGTAACACTGTACATTTTCATGTCAGTGATTGTTAACATATAAAACTGAGGACAAGATTTTCTAAATGTGAACCCATTGTTGAGCCAACTGTATCAGCAGCATTTAACAAATCTCTATCATGTCATCAGCAATACTATTCCTCCTTGTGTCAGGTATCTTCTCTGGATAACATGAGACGTAAGTTAATAGGATGACCGGTACCTCAGTCATCTAGTGTGTATCTGAATTTTATTGGGATGTCCGCCATCTTCTCCTGGTAGAGCTGATCAAACCACTCTTTCTGTGCCACAGTGAACCAGTTCTTCCAGTCACCCACTTTACCTGGAAATATGCAGACAATAGTACCACGGCACTGTAGCTCACCTGGACATGTGCACACAATAGGGTCACGGCTCTGTAGCTCACCTTGACATGTGCAGACAATAGTGCAACGGCATTGTAGCTCACCTGGACATGTGCAGACAAAAGTGCCAGTGTACTGTAGCTCACCTGGGATAGTGTCGCGGCACTGTAGCTCACCTGGTAGATGAAGAGTCGGAGCAATACAACCTGCTTAACGCTTGACTTTAATATTTGAAATAACAGCTGCGATTAGGCATTAATCAACACGACGGGCATAAAGAAGAATCTGACTGAAACCTTTTGAACACATTCATATATCTGCACTACTGAAATGTATGCCAAGATCCTCTTCCGTCCAGTTTCTGAAACTCGCAAGATTAAACCGAGATCCTAAAGAGCCAGCACATTTAAAAACTGTAGGGCCAGTAGAAAAAAACTGTAGGCCCAAACATTTTAACTGAAGCGGGGAGACATAATCTTGCAATATACACTACAAAACACAACCAGTCATCCAAAACTTTTACTGCTACCACGCCGAGTTCCCACAGACTAAGTGAAGATAAAGATGAAGCCTATATTTATCAGGAAATTATCAGCGTGTAAAACATTTTTGCGACTACATGTCATACACCATATGAAAGATCTAATCATACTGCTTATACATATGAAAGGACCGCCTCCGTGGTCTAATGGTAGAGCGTCCGCCCGGAGAGCGGAGGGTCCGGGGTTCGATCCCCAGCCGCGTCATACCAAAAGACGTTAAAAGATGGTACTTGTTGTTACCCTGTCTGGCGCTCGGCATTATGGGGCTAAAACAAGGACTGGTCGGCTCGGAGTCAGTATGCTGTGTCTGAGTGGGGTATTCATGTTAAACTGCGGCTTGGTATCTCAGTGTGCTAGCACTATAAATCGGCATCAGTCCGGACTAGTACAAGCAGCCACACACACATACACGTGCATATATAAGTGCAATAATCTTGGACGCGACGTTAAACCCCATTTCACCTCACCTCACCTATAAATATGAAAGTTATGTTTATCACATTGCTTAAAAAATGCTTAACAAATAATTACTTGAATAAAATGCAGGCCGTAATGTCCTGCTGAAATTTAAAACAATCAGCCCAAGGACAAATCTGTCGGCCTCGGGCCTACGGGCCAATGTCTATTTCGAAAACTGCCTCCATCAGTTAACTGGTGATCGGGAGAACACGTCATGGCGTCATGTGGACGTATGGATCAGGTGAGTTTAACAAAAACGTTCTCTGGGACGTCACGATACGTATACATGTACGCCAAACGAATGTAAATAGGCTGATGCGTACTCATGGTTTGAGCAATATTCAAACCATGTCAATACCTAGAATGAACTTCAAAACTTGTAACTGAGGACTTCAACCCGGTTTAGGCTTAGCTTAACACTTTGCCCACTAGGCCGCCAGATGTTAGATATACATCTAACGTTAGGTACATAGTTAAGGTATAACATACACCGGGGAATAATTAACCATCAACTACCACCGCCAGAGAGCGATAACACGAGACGAGAGAGTGATAACACGAGACGAGAAAGCGTTATTGTATATCGATATTTCGTCTCGTATTATCGCTTTCTCGTCTCGTGTTACCGCTTTCTCGCGGTAAAGCGATATCCCCTCGTGAGTGAGTGAGTTGGGTTTAACGCCGCGTTTAACAGTATTCCAGTTATTTCGCGGCGTGTCAGCTTAATGTGGGAGGAAAGCCCGAAGTGATGCAGGTTTCAGACGTTTATCACTTCGGTGAAACCCACGAGCTCGGGAATTGTGCTGACAAACCTAGAAACATAATCGGGGCGAACCGGGATTCGAACCCACAATCATAGGTTTCTGGCGTGTCAAAGGGACGCAACTCTGCAAAGCGAATCGCGGCGCCTTAGACGACCTGGCCACCCGTGCCCCCCTATCCCCTCTAGACCACAATAGGGGTCTTACGTGTCATGTAATCAACACGATGAAAAACATATATGTAAAACAACAGTAATGAATTGTTAAACCACACATTATCATAAAAAGAGTCCTGTTGTTGTTTCCCTCATTTTTAGGGGGCCGAAGTGTTTTTTCTTCATAAAAGAGAGCTGATATTTTGTCCTGTCTCACTTTTCACTAAAAGAAAATAACTGTTCAGATGTAGGTGATGTAAATAAAGTGACAAAACCTTTTCCATATCAACAATCTACGGATTTCTGCGATAACTTATTGCTTGTTAATTGAATGGCCCTGGTAAGGAGTTCTATATATACAAGGTATGGGTCTTGCAAATCAATTAGTTATGATACAACACTGAGCACACCAATCACTCAATATTCTGTTGTTATGTTCAATAAATGAGCACAGTTACTTTTCTCCGTCAGTACATATTCAAAGTAGATCCCGGCTTTCAACTCGATTGAGTCCAAGTACTAGCTGAAAGCAGAAACTTGCACAGAACAATGGGGTGACGTTTCCAAGTTTTACGAGCCTCCCTAGTCAGTGGATGTTTTAACCCATTAATGCCAAGCGCTAGGCAGGGTAACAACAAGTACCATTTTTCCACCTTTTTGGTATGAAGCGGCCGGGGTTCGAAACCCCGACCTTCTGTTCTATGTTGGGGTAAATATGTCTTGTAACCATGAAAATGTAGCAGTTGTTAAATCGACAATGGTCTATGGCCCGGTTCATGCTAGTATGGCCGAGTATAAATGGAGAGGTCATCGACCATGGTTCCTTCACACATGTTACGTAATGGTGTAAAAATCAAGAGGATCACTGACCTTTCCTGAAGGCATATTTCCCCATTTCCGTTGTTGCCTTTCGTTTCTGCATTGAATCGAAATGGCAGTGCTCACACACCTGCCTCACGAACTCATCAGATCTCGCCAGACCAAGAAAATCTCGCAATTTCACGGCCTCCCTCACGGGATTCTACAGAAAGAGAAGAGACGTATTCAATACACAAGACCCACTTTACAGGCCCAGATATACCTAATAGGCGAAGAGCAACTTAACTTTAACCGAATGTTTTGTTTGTTTGTTTGTTTGTTTGTTTGTTTGCTTGCTTGTTTAACGCCGCACCCAGCAGTATTCCAGCTATATGGCAGCGAGTCTTTGAAAGGCATTTAGAAGTACTACACATAAGGAAGAGAATTATTGCTTGGATCTTTGTCTAGCTGGCTTCAATTTGCCCATTATTATTTTTACCTATCAGTGCGAATTATCCCCGGCCTTCCGTTTTCCCATTGTCCATTGGCAATTACCTATCAGTCATAATTTAAGTTCTTGCTTCCAGTTGTCCATAACTATCAGCGCTAATTACTGTAAAGTGTTGGCTTCCATTGTCAGTTGCTAATCACCTATCAGTGCTAATTATCTGTTGGCTTCTCTTGTTAAGTTTCCACCTTTTGTTATCTTATTACTTTTGTTGTTCTTACATACCCGTGATGATCCGGGATAGAATAGGTCTTCAGCAACCCATGCTTGCCGTAAAAGGCGACTATGCTTGTCGTAAGAGGCGACTAACGGGATCGGGTGGTCAGGCTCGCTGACTTGGTTGGTGCATGTCATCGTATCCCAATTGCGTGGCTCGATGCTCATGATGTCAATCAGTGGATTGTCTTGTTCAGACTCGTTTTTGTACAGACCGCCGTCATATAGCTGGGATATTGCTGAGAGCGGCGTTAAACAACATGTAACTGAAACTGTTGGCCTTAAATGTACATGTATATGTTCTCTGCCTCATATCATTCATTCACCAGATGAATGAGTAAGTATATACTCCGAAACGCTGTGTTTCTCAAAATAAAGAATTTGACATCCATAAATTATCTTCCTCATATGACGGCGGTCTGGAAATAATCGAGTCTGGACTCGACGATCCAGTGATTGACCTCGTGAACCTCGACATACGCAATGGGGATAGATGGCATGCATCTACCAAATCAGAGGGCCTGACTCTTACGACAAACAAGGGTTGCTGAAGACTAAATCTAACCCGAATCTTCACGGGGCTCAACCGAATATAACAAAACTTGATAGTGCTGGCCCACTGAGACACCATGCCACAGATCAACATGAATACCGAGCCAAACAGTCCTTGTTTTAGCCCCTTAATGCCGAGCGCCAGGCAGGGTAACAGCAAGTACCATCTGTTGACGTCTTTTGGTATGACGCGGCCCGGGGTCGAACCCCGGACCTTCCGTTCTCCTGGTAGACGCTCTTACCACAAGACCACACAGGCGGTCCCGTCATAAGTATTAGGATTATTCAAATTGTTTCCGTGCATTTTGAGATCCAATCGAGACACAGAATATACGGAGTTACGAACTATATGTGGCGGAATCTGGCGTTACTCGGTTTACAGTGATTTCATGCATTATCACTACGCCATTGCTGCCTTAAATATTATATAGGTTGCGAAACAAGCCGACTGGATCCGAGTGGACCCGAGTGGACCCGTGTGGACAAATTGGTAAAGTTCACGAAGTGACTGGAATATTGGTGTTGAAAAGTCCTGCCCCTTCCTCAACGATATCTTCTTTGATATCTTTGATACCTCTTTAAAGTCCTCATAGACCAGGGTAAGAATGGGGTGGTCAGGATTGGCCCTTTTAACCTCCTCCCAATGCCGGGTATGGTCAAACCACGACCCATAACAAACTGAAACAATACAGGATTGCAATTATTTAAAGCCAGGAAGTTATTTTATGCGCATGCATTTTTATCAAAATATCAGCATCACTATGTGTTCAGGAAAACATGTTTGTTTCCTGTTTAACTCCACACTCAGTTTTTTTGTTGTTTAACGCCACACTCAGCGACATTCCAGCTATATGACGGCGGTCTGTCAACAATCGAGTCTGGACAAGCCAATCCAGTGACTGACGTCATGAGGATCGATCCACGATGACATGCATCAACCAAGTCAGCGAGCCCGACCACCTGATCCCGTTAGTCGCCTCTTTCGACAAGCATAGTCGCCTCTTACGGCAAGCATGGGTTGCTGAAGCCTTGTTCTACCCAATATCTTCACGGGTCGCCACACTCAGTAATAAATCCAGCAATAGTATGATGGTCAGCGACTCAAGGGAACCCCCGTTGTTATTTATCGTCGACATACCACGTGTGGATTTCTGGTCAGAATATAGGTTCCCAGCAACCTATGCTTGTCATACTTTGCGATTTAAAAGACCAAGAAGGCATTAAACAACATGGTTTTAAATCATTTTTTATAATATTTTATGGTGTTGCCTTAAGTGGATTCTATAGAATAAAGTTTTTATTTTTGGTCGTACATATTTTTGTTGGTCATTTTTTGGCCATTTACGTGCAAGGTTGTGGGTGAAGTTTTTTGTTTAACAGTAAAATTAAAATTAAATTAATTAAATTAAAGTCAACTTGACGAGGGTGGAAAGCCCTAGGTGATGCAGGTCTTGGACGTTTTGTACTTGGGTGTAACCAAAGAGGATAGGTATGGTGCTGACAAACCTAGCGACATAATAATCTCGGGTTGGTGAACACTGATAAGTACTTAGTAAAATATCTGTAATATATTGTAGTATTGTAAACGTTCTCAATAATATAAGCCAGAAATATGCTGTTGGGACGTTCACAACATACAAAGGGAACTTACTCCGGTGATTCCCTAATCCGAGCATTTATCATACCAGACGATTTCACTTGTAACAATACCGTCCGGATCTCGTCTTATTTCTGTTTAGATAATAATTTTTTCTTTAGACTATACATACATTTCCCGTTGAAGTACGGCCTACAGAAGTTACCCCACTTCCCGCTGTAGTCGCAGAAGGTGAGAACGCGCAGGAAGTTGAAGTACGACACAGCAACGTCCAAAGGGTTCCGGAGTACACAAATCAGCTTCACCTTCTTCTTAAGCACATCCGCCGGAAGTTGTTCAAGGCGCAGGTGCGTGTTTAGAATTCTGGGCGAGGGGAGGTCTCGGTATGCTGTCTCGGGCGAACTGTCAATCATGGTGACCATCTTCTGGAAGTCATCGACGTCAACACTTCCGGCTAACAGGAAGTGGATTATCTCCGTCACCCAATGGGATCCTGTAAAGTAATATAAGGACATCATGTGATCAGTGCTTTCCTTATCCTCGGTATCCCCTAATCCGTTGTTTAGTACCATTTTTTTTCTATATGTCACTACTGGGGGTTACCGATTGTCCCGTTAGAAAATTCTGCTAATGCGTGCTGTAGGATTTACTGCTCACTTCCACATTTCAAATTGGCTACAAATCAAAATGTTTTTGAAAGATCTTAATACCAATTTTATCCCGGATTACTTCCTAATATGTATTATTCCTCGAAAAGGACGTTTGTAAAACGATTGAAGATTGAAGTAAATAGTGTTTTAATGGTGATCGCCATCTTTCATACCAATTTCAAACCTTTAATAGAATCAATCATCTCTCACTGTTATAATAAACTGTAAATAAAAGCGACACATCCCTTTCCATAACCCGAGTATGTCATAAGGGGCGGACCAATTGATATTTAGGGGGGGGGGGGGGGGGGGGAGGGGGGGGAGGGTCATTTTATTTTGGCAGAGATATGTTCTTTTCATCATATCTAGAGGCTGAAGTGTTAAGTGACATTAATAGATACAGCTGGGGATTAAGGGTCCTGCTGGGAGGGGGCTTAGGATTAGAGGGAATAGGTGAATGTTTGCTGTATTCGTTAATCAGAAAAAGATGGCATTTCTGTGCATTTGGCTGAACAAAGTTTTAAAGAAACCTATTGAAGTGGTTTGGAATAAATCAATTCCCCTGAACGTGGTGGAGCTTTTGTCCTCAAAAACTTTTTTAAAATAGTGACAATATTGAAAGTACAAGTATATGGTTAAAATGCATTTCTCCAATCACAAAGATCAGTTTTTGACTCAGATTGGTCAGGATAAGGACAAACTCACTTACATTATTACTAAATAGAAACTGGAAACGCCAGACTCATTTGACCCTTTTTATAAGCAAAACGCAACCAATAGGAAGGAATGTTCCAGACAGGTGCATCTATGTTAGAAGCCAATATCATTCAGCCAAGTTCTTCTGAATGACACCGTCCGGTTGTCTTGTCTTGGTTCAATAACGGGATAGTTTTCCGGTTTGCTGTAGATTATAGACGTCTCAATGCAGTTACCAAACCTATACTTTCCCCTCTACCACGTTTTGAAGATGTCGCTGATGCCATATAGAGCTGACAGCCATGCTAACATTATTAGTGTCATTGATTGCGCAAGCGGCTTTTAGCAAATACCACACCATCCAGATACAAAACACAAGTCAGACTTCATAACACCTGATGGTGTTTTTGAATGGAATCGCCTCCCTTTCGGCATTAAAACCCGTTTCAAGCACTAAAAGAAATGAATTGGCGTTACATATTAATATGTGAAGATGACATCATAATATCTTCTAAAACGTTTTGAGACTCGTGAAGATCCAGGATAGAATGGGTCTTCAGCAACCCATGTTTGCCATAAAAGGAGACCATGCTTGTCCTAAGAGGCGACTAACGGGATCGGGTGGTCAGGCTGCTGACTTGGTTGATGCATGTCATTGTATACTGAGTGTATCGATGCTCATGATGTCAATCACTGGATTGTCTGGTCCAGACTCGATTATTTAGACCCCGTCATAGAGCTGAAATATTGCTGAGTGCGGCGTTAATCAAACAAATAAACAAACAGAACATTTGAATCACCCCAAAAGATCAAAGAAGCAGCACTCACTCTAAAACCAAGCAAATGTAATTTCGTGACAAAACAAGTCACCTACTTAGGGCATATCTTCAGCAAAGATGGCATCCATGTTGAGCCTTCAAAGATAGATAGTTACACAGATCCCAAGGCCTAAAAATGTCCATGATATAGGTTTGCCCTCCTATTATTGCAAATTTGTAGCAAACGTTTATGACATCGCCTCCCCCTATACAACCTTCTGAAAAAAGATGCGTCTTTCAAATGGTCCAACAACTGCCAACAGGCAATCGAAAAGCCAAAGCAATCCCTGCCAACAGCCTCATCCTTGTATATCCCGACCAAAACAAACCCTTAATCCTCACAACTGGTGCATCACAAACTGCAATAGGGTACATTTAAGACCAACTTGAGTCTCATGGCATAAATTGTAATAATTAAATTTTCGTTGTGTTCATTGAAATTCCTGCATTCTGATTAGCTGAATTGGTCACGTGTTATTGCATTCATTACCCAATGAATGTAAAAAAATAAGCCACGTCCACCGAGGCGCACTACTTTTATTACTGCGGAATGTCGGGGAATCCCAATATTACAGTCGAGGGAATTCCCTTTCTGCTTACGTGTATCGTCATGCACATGACATTTAGCGACATTCATGTATATTCATTGTCCAAACTACCCTTTGAAACCGAAGGCCGAGAATGAATGAAACAGCAAACGTGCAGGCTCGCTCGCCTGTTTTTTCCCGCTCGCCTCGGTTCAACTTTCATGTCTTCGGGTTTCATTTCTAACTAGCATTTTTCCAACTGTGTTTTCCCGTTTTCTGGGAAGTAATGTTTGAATCTGGCGGTAACTGACCATGTCATTTGAAACAGCCGCCTCTCGGACATATTTCTTCCGGTTCGTTACAGTCTGACTGTTGCAGTTCTTCTCGCCTCATGCCTTCATTGATAGGTCCTATGAACATTGTTTTGTTCCTACTCTCCGTTGATTGGCTACTCACTGTGTAGGCGTGTCAAGTTATGTACATAAATTTAACGATCACCTGATTCATGTCACGCCACAGTATGTATTCATACACCTGGAATGTTTATCAATCTCGTCATTTTTGTCTGCTTTGATATATTTAACTGTTTTTTGGTTAAACTATTGTAGATAAAACATGTTTTATGTTGTCGAATTTAATTATAAGCATTGACTGTGTATTTTTTCGGTTTATTGAGGTATGAATAAAAAAACGATGTGCAAACTTTTGAGTCATATCACGATGAGACAAGCAGGGTCCATGACCTTGTCCAAGGATACAGCACAGTGACTTGCATGATATGGCCTCTTGAAAAGGAAGTTTGACATGATTATTTATAAATAAGGGCCACGTGCATATTGTCTCTCATGGAGATGTCTCTACGTCAATGATTATGGCTTTGTTCTCGGTATACTGTATATTAATGAGGATGGCCATATTGCGGTCGGGACTTTTTATTTTATTTCAAGCAGATGGAGTTTTTATATACACAAACTTGTGAGCTGCGTCATATTCTTTACAGACACACATCCACACACTCACACACTCTCTCTAAATGTCTTCTCACATCTTACATGCAACAGTGAGTGAGTGAGTTGGGTTTAATGCCGCGTTTAACAGTATTCCAGTTATATCACGACGTGTCAGCTTAATGTGGTAGGAAAGTCCGAAGTGATGCAGGTCTCAGACGTTTACCACTTCGGCGAAACTCACGAGCACGGGTATAGTGCTGACAAACCTAGAAACATAATCGGGGCAAACCGGGATTCGAACCCACAATCATAGATTTCTGGCGTGCCCAATGGACGCAACTCTGCACAGGGAATCGCAGCGCCTTACATGCAACAGATAATTTTAATGAAACATGGTCATACTATAGATGTAAAGCCGTCAAGAACGCTTTATTGATGACTTGTACACCGCTCTGGCCCCAGGATAAAGCTCCCATCTGTTTGTTGTTTAAGACTGCACTCAGCAATATTCCAGCTATATGACGGCGGTCTGTACATAATCGCGTCTGGACCAGACAATCCAGTGACTGACATCATGCCTTTTAGGGCAAGAATTGGTAAGCTCCCATCTGTTCTCACCTGCCTTTGGGTACGCTGATACAATGATGTCGTCGCTACGCACGTTGACACTTGCGAGGTTACGGAAGGCGTTGATGTCGCCATTGGGCAGCACCTGTCCGTCTGTCTCCAGGAACGACGCCCCGTCTCCCCCATCGTCAAAGATCCGAACTACGTTCATCTTCTGGACGTTAAATAGATACTCCTCACACAGATGTTATCATTTAAATTTCAAAGTGAGTGAATGAATGGTGATTTACGCCGAAGTCAGTTTATTATACCGTGTAAATGTTTGTTTGTTGGTTGGTTAACGCCGGACTCAGCAATATTCCAGGTATGTGACGTCGGTCTGTAAATAATCGAGTCTGGACCAGACAATAAAGTAATAATTATAATGAGAATCGACTCACGCCATCGGATACGATAACATGCATCAACCAAGCCACCGAACCTGACACCCGATCCCGTTAGTCGCCTCTTATCGCTAGCATAGTCGCCTTTTATGGCAAGCATGGGTTGCTGAAGACCTTTTCTACCCCGGATCCTCACAGGTCTAGCGTGTAAATGAATGTATCTGGACCAGTCAAACAAGCGAATACAATGTATATAAGAGAAAACAAACATCCATCAGAGTATCCTGATCGATTGATATTTTTCAACAACATGCGGAAGAGAAGAAACAGCACCCATACCTGCAATGATGGAAATACCAGAAAGGATCAAGAAAAGGCACCGAATGTTTCTCGATTTCCAAACAAGAGCAGCGCAGTACTTCACCCCTACAGGGCCTCTATATCTACTTCTATACCGCACAGACAGCGTTAGTGTGACTGTGTACTGATTATAACTCCACAACTTTCATTTCACATCACAATACAGTCATAACAAGTATTTGTCACAGAAGTGACGAAATGTCCCCCGCTTGTATATACACCAAAATACCAAATATGAAGACAATCGAGCGATTAATTAGTTCTTGAGATATCGCGGCAACACCGTTTTCCAACTCCAAAAGCAGATTTGCCTGCTGTGATTTTGAAAATGGGGTCAAGGTCACCAAAACCGACTGGTGTCTGCGGTGTCTGTATATACACCATAGTCCCAAACATGAAGACAATCCTGCGATTAGTTCTTGAGATATCGCGGCAACACCGGTTTCGAACTCCAAAAGCAGATTTACCTGCTGTGACCTTGAAAATGGGCTCAAGGTCACCAAAACCGACTGGTGTCTGCGGAGTCCGTATATACACCCTAGTACCAAATAGGAAGACAATCCAGAGATTAGTTCTTGATATATCGCGGCAACACCGTTTTCCAACTCCAAAAGCAGATATGCCTGCTGTGACCTTGAAAATGGGCTCAAGGTCACCAAAACCGACTGGTGTCTGTGGAGTCTGTATATACACCATAGTTCCAAATATGAAGACAATCCAGTGTTTAGTTCTTGAGATATCGCGGCAACAAACAGGTGGGACGTACGGACGTACGGACGGTCGTGAATACTATATCCCCCGCTTCGCGCTTTCGCGCGGCGGGGGACAATAATATGTCACTGTCACAAACCATGCCTGACACCCATTGTGATTGCGTCCGCACTGTTTTTAGTTCTCATTTTGCAAACGACCTCTATCATGGGTCCAACACAATACACCGTTGGAATAAGTACCGCCTGGTCATTGAGAAGTGTTCCGTGAGCACCACTGCTAATATATACATGTACTTGTTAAAAACCATATGTTGCTATATGATTAGTATCCCCGCCCAACAAAGTCCGTCCGTCACGTTTCGTTTCCGGAGCATAACTCATAAACCGTTCAATATTTTTTCATCAAACTTTGCAGGTCTGTCAGGTAAATGCTGAACTGGTGCCTTTTGCTATTTAGAAATTTTAGAAATTTTTATTTTTTACGTTTCCATGGCAACAAGATGGACATAGGTTCTGTGAGAGTAGGGTTCGTTTCCGGAGCATAACTCATAAACCGTTCAATATTTTTTCGTCAAACTTTGCAGGTTTGTCAGGTACATGCGGAACTGGTGCCTTTTGCGTGTTAGAAATTTTAGATTTTTTTATTTTTTTTACGTTTCCATGGCAGCAAGACGGACGTTACAAACTCTTCTTTTTTTACAATTTCTATGACAAGTTCCACCTCGGTTAAAAAAGGTCAGGGTTTGTTTATATTTAATTATGTCATAAATTCTGCAACAGAGGCGGGGGATATAGCCACGTTAGTGGCAAACTCTTGTTACAATAGAGGTCAGAATCAACTTGAGCTTATCTGTAAGAAATTCACTGATCTACTTGCATTGTCAGGCTCGGTGACTTGGTGCATGTCATCATACGCCTATGGATAGTCAACGTATTACGTATATGATTCTTGAAGGGTGGACCGATTAATACATCAATGCATTGTGTTGCACAGAGCATCACGACATGCTGTGACAACGCCGTTTATTATTGAAACAGCTGATGCATGTTATCCTTGTTTAGAGTGAGTGAGTGAGTATGGTTTTACGCCGCTTTTAGCAATATTCCAGCAATATCACGTCGGGGGACACCAGAAATGGGCTTCACACATTGTACCCATGTCGGGAATCGAACCCGTGTATTCGGCGTGATGAGCTTACGCTTTAACCACTAGGCTACCCGACCGCCCCCCTTGTTTAGATGATACACGTTTTAATTATACGGTCGTGAAGGGGAGGTTGCCACACATAAATATTAGTTATAGCCATCTTTATATCTACGAGATGAAAGCTATGACTGAATTATCCTTTTTGAGTTTGAAATCCTCTTTTTTCGGTGACAGTATGGGGTCGGTCGGATAGCCTAGTGGTTAAACCGTTAGCTCGTCACGCCGAAGACCCGGGTTCGATTCCCAACATGGGCACAATGTGTGAAACCAATTTCCGGCGTCCCCCGCCGTGATAGTGCTGGAATATTGCTAAAAGCGGCGTAAAACAATACTCACTCACTCACTGTGACTGTATGATGAGAGTTTCATGGTTATGGTGAAATCCTTTTTTATTCAGCAGTTAATACAGAGAATCTATAACCTGTGAATAATTTCTTCAAATATCAAATTACCTCTACAACAGTTCCCTTCACCCCGAAGTCTAGCATATAGTCAATCTCATTCAAATCAGACCTCAGTTCTCGCTACCGCTAAACAAACATCTGAGGACATCCCATTAGGGGTTACGTCAGACCAATCAGAGCATCGCTTACCAGATTATGAAAGTGACAGTCGGAATGTGATTTCTGATCATGCAGCCTCGAAAACTTTAACTCCGAACGACAGTTACGGGTTTCATGACTGTATCCATACAATCTAGACCATCTATTGGCCATTCCAGAATGTTCTTTTGTTCAGGTTTCAAATTTGTAATCGAGAATTTGTCAAAATATGTTTCGAAGCGTAGTCGCCAATTTGAAATTAGTGCCGTAAAGCACGAGAAAGCTGCCTTCTGATTGGTCATTCCATTGGTTGGTCAAAGTTTGCGCAAGGTCGGTCTGACGTGACCCGTAATGGGATGTTCTCAGATCTTTGTTTAGCAGTAGCGAGAACTAAGATCTGATTTTAATGAGATTGAGCATATAGTATGTTATATAGACTGTTTTGTTCTGCTATTTCATGAAATAGTGGATATTTAAAGTAGTAGTACCTGATGTATACACTGTAAAATGTGTTCAGGTATTATTTATTATTTATAACGGGCGTTGTCGTCCTGAAAGACAAAAGGTCGACCCACACGCTTTGCAAACGCGACAACAGACATTGTCAGTATGTTGTCCCGATACTGCCGTCCAGTGACCCTTCCTTGCACAATATGGGTTGGGTCCGGCTAAGTCATAGTGATGCCACCCCACATCATAACCAATCTTCCGCCAAATCTGTGATGGGGTATCAGGTTGATATTGGCTTGACGTTCATTTCGACGTCGCCAGACATGACAACGTCGATCAAGGAAGTGCAAAGTGAGTCTTTAAAGTAAATGAACCTAGGCCGCTGACCTACACGTTTTAAAAACTGAGTCACATTTAATTGTCAAAGTGAGTGAGTTGGGTTTTAACGCCGCTTTTAACAGTATTCCAGTCATATCACGGCGTGTCAGCTTAATGTGGGAGGAAAGCCCGAAGTGATGCAGTTCTCAGACGTTTACTACTTCGGTGGAACCCACGGGCACAGGTATGGTGCTGACAAACATAGAAACATAATCGGGGCGAACCGGGATTCGAACCCACAATCATAGGTTCCTGGCGTGCCCAAGGGACGCAACTCTGCACAGCGAATCGCGGCGCTGAAATATATCAACCTGAAATTGTCCTTAAACCGCGGCTCTTTTGTCTTTGACTGGACAGTAACAAACCGAATAGTTTGCAAAACCACTATTTGGCAATGTCGGAACATCATTGACTTGAATGATCTGACAACGGCAATTTAACGAAATATTTGGGTCGCCGGCGGGATTCGAACTCACGAAGATCGCACGGAAGGCTAACGAATGTACAATATGGAACATCTGAAAAATTAACAATTTAATATGTACCAACATCAAAACTGAAAGTTACTCAATGAGTCTTTTAAATAATACGTATAACGAACGTGTGTTGTGGTAACTGTTCGTTAATAGAAATGACTAGACAGAAGCAAATACTCGGTCCTTGATCAGGGCTGGGTTTTCTTAAAAAGTATTCATTAACATGTATACGGTATGCGTGTGTGACCGATGCATTTTCTCACGTTGGTCTGATATGAATTGTATACTTGACCCAGGGCATTCATTCCATAGCCTGTACGACAGCTCGATGACCCCACAGAGTGAGTTCCAAGCGACACATAAAACATTCTCACAGTTAAGTAAATAATTTTTGAACAGTTATATAAAACGGTTATCATTGCAATGTTGATTAAACATGTTTAGACACATTTGACGCGATAACACTTTGATACAACTGGCATTTATATTTCTTTATAAACTTTGAACGTCAATGCTAGAAAATAACCAGTCTCGATTTTCAAACGAAACCGACACCAATGGACGTAAAAGGCAACATAGCGGTTTCACTGTGACTGGATCACTAAAACATCAGTGATAACACCAGGTGTTGGCGAAAAAAGTAAGCATATTCTGCCTACCTGTTGTACCCGCCAATCCACTCACAATTTGCATGAAAAAGGCACA